TTCAATAATTAATTATATTTTTTTACTTTAAATATTTACATTTGATATCGTGCATATTATATTTTACTGAACTATTAGCCTAAAGGCTGCTTTATTGTACTATAATCCACAATAATTATTGCATTTTACTCATTTTGAATCATCGTTCATTCGCTCTATATACATGCACACCTATACGTATATATATTAATTTCTTAATTCAAGCAATTATAGATTAAATGGAGTATATTAAGTGCTCAAGTGCTCTCGAGAGCTGCTCGACGCCTTTGCATAGAGTTCAAGTGCTTGGCTACCTTGATAGTCATTCGCATTTCAACGCTCGCCTGACTATATGGAGCTCCTGCTCTGCTGCTGACTAATCTGACTGTCTATCTGCTGACTGACTAACTGTCTGTCTGGCTGTCCCGCCTGGTTGGTTGCCCTGCCCAGCCCTGCCCGATGGGTGAGAACGCGGTCAACAATATGTCGTCTAATTCGTGCATGTTGTACAGTTGTTTTTTATTGTTGTTGTTTTTGTTTTTTGTTACTCTCTGAGCGTCTGACCTTATGACTTTATTAGGCACACACAAAAAAGAAATAATACATATATAAATATACAGGGCATAGAAGAAGTAGAAGGAAAACCAAAATAATGAGACAGCTTTGCTATTGCTGTTTGAGTGAGTGTGAGTGAGTATGTGTGTGTGTGTGTCTGTGTGCGCGGGGCATTTTTCAAGATTTTCTTTTAGCCGTCATCGTTGGCGTTGCTAATGACTAAGCCAAGCAAACCCACCCAACCGATGATGGCCTATCTCTATCTACCTCCCACTCTCTCGCTCTCTCTCTCTCTCTCTTTCCAAGTCCCTATTTAAACCCATCTTTCTACCTCCCTCCCGCCCTCTCTCTCTCACTGTCCCTCTTGTGTGCTTGCTTGGCGCGTGTCTATTGATTTTCCATGCATAATCGATATATAAATATTGCAACTGCCTACAATTTTGCCAACTGTCAACTTTAGCTATCACCAATATGCAAAAGACCTGAGCTAACCTGCCACAGCGAGTGTGTCACCTGCTGTCGTTGCCCCACCTGCTGTCCACACCTATTTTCAAGTGTCCGCTTTCTTGTGCGGGCCCTTCCATCAGTTTCGCTTTTCTTATTATTATTTCCACACACACACACACACACATACACACATGTATATACTCACACAGAAGCGCACACACTCTCTCAAAGAGCGAGCAAATATTTAATGAATATTTATTTTTCATTGGTTGATTGTGATTTGATTGCGTTTTCTGTTGCGCATTCGTTCTTATTTTCGTTTCGTTTCGGTTTAGTTTGCTTTTTGTTATTGTTGCTATTTTGGTTACTGTTCCATTTGTTAGTGCTAGAGTTCGCG